TTTCTCCCTCTTCACATTGTCTCATTCCAGGCCCTATCAATCCACCACTCCCACAATCCCCTGGGGGTCGGAGTTGAGAAACAGCCCTGCTGGACGCTGCTGCCACACCAGATGATCGTCTCTCCCCTCCTTGCCCTGCATGTTGCCAGGCCACCTGTCTGGTCCTCAGGTCCAAACAGTCTCTCACCTTCAAACACCATCCCACTCTACTTTCTTTTACTGAGCTCTCTTGTCCTCTCCGCTTTGTTTTCTTTTTTGTCTTCTATTCTTCTGTCGTCGCTGTGCTGTCACGTTTCAGTAATTCATTAATGCATTATTTGATTAATTCTGTCGTGGCACTTTCATTACTGTAATAAGCTCTGATTCATTTCAGTGGGTGGTGAAAAAAGGGGACGGCCTGAATGCTAATGTGACGCATCGCCAAATGAGAGAGCGGCACAGGGGTTGGCTGGGCAGGGAGTCCTTGTCATCCATCAGTCTCCTCTCACTCTCCTCAATAGTTTTCCTGACAGGGCAGAACTCTCCCCCCTCTTTGAGCCAAAACATGAGCTTTATATGTGAGATGTGTAAATCCCCCTGAAGAGATATGGCAGTATTTAAATGACTCAAATGATATTCATATTCATGGCACACACAAACAAATGAGCACAGCATTTGCAAATACTTACAATAGAGTCTCCCAAGTGGTGATCTTGCTAAGTTTTCAAGGACAAGCGCAAGAGAAAGCAGACTTCTGAAATAGTTATTACAACCTAGATGCAAGCATAATCTGAAACCTAATCATGGTGAAAACAGAGAAAAAAACAAAGCAGATGGAAGCTTTTGATGTTTAAGATGGGAATGATGCCAAGAAAGAAACACATCAGAGCGATTAGACAATCCTCCATCGAATATTAAAGCCATTAGTTCCAGTGTGCTCGGGAGCTCAGAGGACAGGCTGCAGGTCACACTGAACTGAACTCTTTTTTTTTCTTTTTATGAAATTAAATAAATATAATAAACAAACTACAACAACAACAACATAAACAGGGAACGTGCACAACATACGGTGCCTCGAAGCGCACAGCCAGCCATAAATGCCAAAAACAAACATACACTATAACGCACAAAATACCTAGGAAGCAAGCAAAGGATACGCAAGCAAACACAATCAGCACAGGCATGAATCTCTCTCTCTCTCTCTCTCTTTCTGCAGCAAATATGAGATGATGCATGACCTGTAATCCGCAGGCATGAAGTAATCTGAGTGAATGTGCATTTGGATTATCAGTCTGGAACAGTCTAATCTGAAACACTTCGCAAACTGGTTGACTGAGAGGTCATGAAAGAGCTCCTGCCATGTGGAGATGCAGTGTATCAGTATGTTTTCACTGAGCTTTGAGGCCCAACAAGCAGGCACAGCAGTTCTGGTGAACTTGGGTTCTAGTCCTCTGGGAGTTTATAGCTCCTCTGTTGGCAGATATCAAGCGCGTTACTCGTTCTTACTCTCACGGGCTCATCGGCTGCTATTTAGAGTTCCTTTGGCTGCTGCCACGCCTTTATCTGAGAGTCACTGTTGTGACTTTTATCATCATGATGCATTATGTGACAGCTGCTGTGACAGGTCTACCAGCTCCCTGATCAGATTTGGGATGTGCAAATTGACTTTTCTGTTGTACCCATCTTGCATCATGCTTCCCCACCAATTGCTAAATTTATTCATCTCGTACATTTTGAAAGATTGCTTACAACAACCCAAAGATGTTACAAATTACAAAATTACAAGTTACAAAATATCACATTGCAGAAATCTGTTAAACATACCTTGTGTATTAGGATCTTTGGATATTACATGGATTGATATTATTGCCCTTGGAGGTGATGAGTATTAGGAACATGATTCAGTTAATGATACCTAATCTAATAAAACACCTTCAGAAGAAAATTCATGTCATTCAGCACTTTTTTTTTTTTAGTTAATTTGATCATTTTTCTTTGTAAAGGCTCCCTTTATGATACATCTTTTTACTCATCACGTATTTCAGAGACTGACAACAAAACCTGACATTTAATACTGATATTTTTATTTATTGGACAGATGAAGCTGCAGCAAACCATTTACCTGCTACGATGATACATCCCTGACCTCTACAATGTTGCCTGTGCACATGCATATTCACCAAAATCTCATGCACTGTTTGTCTATGACCATATTTTATTTTTGCTCTGTGTGCCTCAGCTGTGTGACTGACTGCATGTTTTATCTTCGATGTAGTCTGTAAGGATTCCATTCGCAGATAGGGGAGAAGTAGCTGCTGTGTAACATGTGAAATTCCATCAAGCCAAATTAATGCAAATGACCCCAGCTGCAAATGCTCACAAAGCATCCTTATTCAACACACACACACACACACACACACACACACACAGACACACACACACACATACACACACACACACACACTGTGCGTGTGTTTGTCACACACTTTGCTGGAGAAAGAAAATGACTGTGTAGATGCATTAACACAACAGTGTGTGTGTACGTAGACTTGCACACATGCATGTTCACATTTTTAACAGGAACTGACACAGTGTTAACGGGAGACGATAATGGTCTCGTCCATGTGTCTGACCATTCGCTAATGTCCCATATGTGTCTGCTTGGTTAGAATACAGCCCTTCTGCCCATCTGCATTCTCTTCAATGAGTCACAAAGTGGGAGTGCATCCCTTCTGTGTAAATAAAGCATTAGTTAAAGGAAAAAGCCATCCCAAAATAGACTTTCTGATATAATCAGTATAACAGTCGCTACATTTTATTATTCCCAGTAATTTTGTAATCAAGTGTAATGTGCTTTTTTTTCACGCTTTGTCAGATTCTACTAAATCAATTATCTCATTTCCCAGACATATTCTCCAACACAAATGTTGATTTTAATGAATAGGTTTATGTCTGACCTATTACTGTAGGTACATGCCTCACAATAAAAATTGAACATCAGAGTGCTCTTATGGTCATGGCAGCACCCTGTATTCAAAACACATTTCCTGACTATACTGTGTGGTAGAGGAAAGATTCATTTTTCTAATGGTATGTAAGTGTTGAACACTGGGTCATAATGGCGACGAAGGAAAGAAGCCCTGATTCCTTCCCTCTCAGGGATTTAAGTTTATTGTTCATTTTCCTATTAATTGTAGCTGCACTGGAAATACAAGACTGTGCTTAGAAATGCATAACACACACATAACCAAGTGCTGAATGTTGATTTTTTTTTTTGTTGTGCTGTAGGTCTTTTTTCTAAAACAATTTTCTTATTCATATGACGATTTCTGTTCATCTTGCAAGTTTTCTCAAATACTGAAGAAATATTAGCATTTTGTATTAAAAAAACAACAGCAGTAGCAGCAGCTGTTTCCTAGAAAATCATAATTTCTCTCTTGTTCTTGCTTCCTATCTTGATTTCTGATATCTTATCTCTACTTACTACATCAGTAGTCACAGTTTCCCATCTTCTGCCCTCACATCCAAATAATATGCACTGTTGAAGATCAGGAGTGAGGTTTTGTATCGGCTTTGGATTTGAAGTTACAGTCAAAGCGAACTGTGTACAGATCTTCAGCAAAGTTTGATGAGCTTGATCGCCGCACAATAAAGAGGAGACGCTGAACACACAATTTAGGGCAGAACAATTATGTTTTCCCAGTTAACATTTTTTGGGCCATTCCTCTCCTCTCCCCTGCAAATGTGAGAGAATGGAAGAGTTGTCTGTCAAAACTCAGAGTTGTGTTAAATTGAATTGGGCAAGTTTGCCTGAACACCCAGAGGAGGCATAAAAGATGAGAAGCACTTCTTCCAAAAACTCCATTTCTTATCTCTCCTCGAGCTGTGTGGGTCGACTCTGAATGTACCACGTCTGGAGACTGTGTGCAGACACAAAGATGGAGCAGATCTACACCAATGAATATATATAGTAAATAACAGGAATAAAGCCAAATTGCTATTGTCAGTTTAAGAGAAGGTATGTGAAAGGTTACATTCTGTCAACTTACAGTTATTTGAAGGAAAAATATCATTGTGTTGCAAATAGTTATCACTTTGTAATAATAATAATAATAATAATAATAATAATAATGATCATGTTTCAAATGCTTCACGCATAATTTTGAAGAAAAAAACCTTTTGATACACTGCAAACCACCATTAATATAAAGCACCTAAGTCCAGAATCCAGCCATTGTTATTAATGTATTATTATATAATTACTTTTTATTTATCTATTTTTTTTTTTTTTTTTTACTGAATTTGGCACTGAAATGTGTCTGAAAAATCCCCTTATAAATTGCTGCAAATTCCTGGATCCCAGTGAGAATCACTGTTCAGATAAGGGATGTCTCAACCCTGTTGCCACTGCTCTTTAATTCACAGTACTATCAACCCACATGGAAGTTAAGCTTCATAACTGATGTGTACTTCACTGGGGTTCACCAATCCTCTTCTTTTTTTTTCACTTGACCCACAACCTCACCACTCCTCTTGCTTGCTTTACAACTAAGTCTCTTTTCTCTGGCAATGTGTGTGTGTGTGTGTGTGTGTGTGCGTGTGTTTGTGTGTGTGTTTGTGTGAGTCATGACAGGTTTTATCTGCCTCAGGAGAATAAAGACACAGTGCCAAGCCTCCCCAAACTCCTCTTCCAACTCACAACAGGCATAAAATCCTATTGATTTGTCCATCAATGTACCGACAGACTACGATAAGAGACGAGTGAAAGCTTCCACCTGAAAACTGTTAATCTTTTCATGTGATCCATCTCTGCCAACAGTAGATATCAGAAATTGGCCTGTCGTATTCTATCCTTCTCTTGGTCTGAACAGCTACAAGATGAGTGATGCAGGGCAGGTCCAGACCATAAATTAGCCTTGTCTGGAGCCTGTTGTCTCCTTTTAATACTAATAGGAGACATGGGGGTCACAAGGGCTGATGGTTAATGAGAAACTGTAACAGTACATAAGCAGTTTCTGAGACATAAGACACTTTATTGGTGTGAGAGGAACAGGACAGGAGAGGCCTGGGGAGAAAACTGACAGTGAAATGACTTTCAGTGATGTCAGCAGATTGTCTTTCGCATAGTTTAGCAATGGGTCTCAAGCTCTGTCAGAGGAGTCTAACACGTGTGTTTATAACCATTCCACTTAAATAAATCCCCAGTCTGGATGACTTTAAGGTTTTGAATGACTTTCAGACTGTTGCTTAACGTGTTAACACTGATACATCATTTGAGTGTCTTTGGTCTGAAATCACAGCTCTGTTCACAGTCTGATATCAAATGACACTTTTTCCTCAAGTGTGAATATCTCCTAAATATTCAAGTGAGGATGGCAGTTTTCAAATGCACTCAAAGACGTAGTCTCACCACAACCGAGCGCGTGGAACTCGGGGCATCACTTGCACAAGCACACCAAAGTGAACCTTCTGGTGATGCCTGGAGTCATGTGTGACTTGTGTCATTTTAGAAAGCACATGGCACAGGAACATAAATATTAGAAGTAGGTTGCACAGAAAAAAAACTTTGGGGGAAAATTAAGCTAGATCATGCATGATCCTATTCATGTTTGTGGGATAAGAGGCCTCTGAGGAACTTCAACTTCATTTTCCTTTCAATTTAAGCCATTCCAATATGTATATGGATGTGATGCCACCTGGTGGTGTTACACAGTCTCAATATTGACTCATTGTGATACAAATGATTTGATCAAAATTAATTATTCTCAAAAATTCTTCCTTTATTTGAGAGAGCTAAGTGGTGAAGCCAGAAAAACAAGTGTTAAATCTCACTTACCGCCAAGAAAACTATAGTTTACTTAGAAGGCAAAGAGGAGGCTCTAGTTAGCTCTAGAAAACTAGTTATGCCGCACATCATAACAAAGAGTTCTTTCTATTCATTTCCTAAACAAGGAAATAAAGAGCCGCCATGAGTTTCTGAATTGCAGGTGATTATTTTTCATAGGTTTTAATATACAAACTAACCTTGTTATGGGAGTTAAAGCACAACTGTCATATTTTGTAAATTCTCTCATGAAGTACAATCATTAAGTTTAATGCACAATTGCAAAATATAAACTTGCCCCCATCACATGCCAAGAATAAAACAATATCTGTCGTAACAGCAACAGTCCCGCTGGCACTTCTTTTTTTATCATTTGACTCATCACAGTTTTTTAAGGCCAGAGTCATTCACATGTAGGTTTTCAGATTAAGAAAACTACACATACAGTATGAGAATTTTGATTGGATTAAAACATTTACTAAATTATCGATGAGCTCATCTTGCTTTCTTTTCATGTCAGTCTCTATCTGTCATCCATGTCACCACTGAGTCAGTACAGTTGCTGGAGTGCCTGAGTTATGATGTCAGGACACACTCACTGCAGTGTTCATGTTCAAATTTAACTGCTTTCAGGTGTCACACCTGTTGATCTGATACTGCGCCTCATTTCAACATAAGCTGTAAAAGATCAGGTTTTTCACATGCGAGAGGAAAGCAAAAATATGAAACGGAAATGAGACACTTCTAGCTACAGTGTGAAACATATTGTTACATGTTACATATTACATTGTCACATGTGACCTTTGACCTCTTATAATCTTGTCTGTTACATTACCCCCCTTTCACTTGCTCTCTCCCCCTGCCTTGTCCTTACTCTTGTCCCGTGGTATACGGCCCATATTGTAAAATTCTAGGTTTGGCCTCATGTCGGTGAGATGGGCGAGCCGGTTGGACATGGCAAAGAAGGCGGCAATGGCAGCGATGTCCCAGGCATCCTCACGGTCAAAACCCACTTCCTCCAAAGACTGGAAGTGCTGTTCTGTGATGGCGTCGCAGCAACACACAGCCAGCGCAAAGTCCAGCATGGCACGCTCCCGAGGTCCCAGGTCCGCATTCTCATAGTTAACAATGACCTGGGTGAAAGTAGGAAGAGGGCTGATTGTTTTATAGTAATTCAGAGAGAAACCAAAATAAGACACAACATATGCAAACACAAAATTAGTAAGAAGGGAATATTATAAGGATGTGAATAGTCCAAACTCACACATTAAGTGCCATGTAAATGTATCTACCTTAAGGAATATAAAAAACATGATACATGAAATATTTCTCCTTTCCTTCCCATTACAAACATACCCTGAAATGTATTTTATGCAACTTGCATACAGTGACGGGATGTGTTATTTATGAGTTAGAATGTACATACTTGTGTTGATCAATTTAATTATAAAATAATTTTGAAAATAGCCTGAAATACTTTAATGCCAGTACGCATTTGGTAAACAGCAACTTCTTTACCACTCAGATCATATTCTTGAATATTTTCCAAACATTACAACACATCTGATTTCAGGTGGGTCCCTGAACTCACCACAATAGATGTAACTGACTACTTTATAACAAATAAGCAGAGCAGAGGCAATCAGTGAAAGACGATACCTGATCGGAAAGAGTGGGTTTCTTAGAGTAAATTCGGTGAAGTGCACTGTGGGATACCACACAATAAAGACACTTGTTGTGGATGCTGGTTGCCACGACAATCAGCTCACGATCTGCCTTGGTTAATCTGCCTGGAAGACATTAGATATTAAATTCATGTGAAATCAGGAAAAAAAACAACACATTCAGAGACTAAAGACACATTCACACAATTGTAAGTTGCAACTCAGCACAGAGTTGAAAAGAGTTGTTAGTTAGGAAGTTGCATATACATTCTCAAACCCAAGTTTATAATATGACAATAAGGAATGCTACTTCACTGCCTAGATCATTTTCTTTTTTATATCATTCAGTGTTCCAGAATTGAGTTGTTTCTGGTCAAAGTTTTAGTCGTTATATAAGTTATAAAGATAAATCAGTAAACCTGCTTCTTGGAACAGGCTCCTGTTATTCAGGGAGTGGCCACAAAAATCTTATAATTCCTCCTTAGATAGTCTATACAAAAAGTCACAGCTCAAATGTAGGCTAACGAAACACCTATTCAAATTTATTTCACACACAAAAACAAAAGACCAAATAAAGAAACCCTTATACTGTATATTCCAGTCACTACTTCCTCTCTTTGATGATGTTGCTGCCAACCTGGTGAGTTTGAAGTAAAATGTGCCAACTTTTAAAACCCCTTTAAATGACTTTATTAAAAACAAGAGCCTATGGACACATCAATTGAAGCGAATCTTCTCTCTTACCAGCAATATAAATCAGCACTACTGTTTTAGTCAGCATATTGACAATAAATATAAAGAATGAATCTTCAGAAGCAGCAACTCCATACAAAATGTTTACTCAGAGCAAAAATCGGTTACAAGATTCACTCTTTGTGCTCGATTTGGCACATCGGTCAAAAACCTGTCTTGCTCCACAGACTAATTAACTCCAACTGAGAACTATTGGCTAAAGGACCATTTCAACATTTTTACAATAAGTCACTAAATACACCTTAGCAATTCTTAATATAGTTCTTACAGACTCTTTGGGAAACATTATCTACTTTCTAATACTTCTACACGAATCTACAGTCTCCCTTGCCTTTTGTGAGTTGTAGAGAGCAGACACATCCAGGTGATCACTTAATAGCCAGACGGAAACAAGAGCAAGCTGCACATGTTCCAGCCAGTGCTCCACTAATACCCACCAATCCACATTGTTACCACAGGAATCCTGTTGTTACAGTTTATGCTGCTTAACGTGATTCTATTTTGGCACTTGATTTGCTGCACTGTTAAAAGCAGCTAATAGGTGCACGTCTTTTAAATACTGTATAAATGAAACACTGATTTTTAAAAAGGTGAAACTGCTTTATTCAGGGTTTTTACTGGATTTAATCACTGTGTTAATCACTTCCTGACTGCGATGACAACTCCCATGATCCCATGCTACTTTACAGCATCACCAAACTCTGTCTTTTGTTGTTTTGATTGGAGAGACCCACAGCCGCAGACAATTACACATTGTGCATTTAAAGCGCCGGTCTGTATTGGATGGGTGGGGTTTCCTCTAACTAAATCCTGCACACCTGCTTCTTATGCTGACCTGAATGACTGTTGTTTTGTTTGCCTATCTGACATGTACCTGATATGTTTCTACTAAAACCTTATTCACCCAAACCTTTGACCACACTACCTGCCGCTGTTTGCTTAAGAGCTGAAACAGATTCAGCGTCACACCTACCACCTCATGTACCACCTGCACTCCAAAAGAGGTTTTTCCATGCCCCCGCTGCCATTAGAGTGCAACAGACCGGCAAAGCCAAACAGAGCACAGCCCTGAAAAAGGTGTCAACAACACTGCCTACAAAGGTCACATAAGGACGCTGACTCCATCTAGTTTTCCTCCTACTAAGAAGCATCGCCAAACTCAGGGCTGTTGTGGTGCAAAATGAAATGGAGATGCTAATACATGCTTTTATCTCATCACAATTGGACTCTCATTTCCTGCCTTAATACACCTTCCTTACACTGGTTACAAAATGCTGCTGCTAGACTCCTAACACAAACACGGTCACATATTACACCTATTTTAACCTCTCTGCAGTGGCCTCTTGTTCATTTTAGAATTAATTTTAAAATTTTGGTGAACATTTATAGAGCCCTTAATGGCCATGCTCCACAGTATATTATTGACCCTCTGCACACCCACACCACGAGATGATGTTTTAAGATTTGGGGAGATCATGCTTTCCAGTCCCTAGCCCCTAAGCTTAATGTGTTTGGACTCTGTGGAAAGCAGCTAAAGCCCATCTGTTGTGCAGACAGGAATTTAGGTAACATGTAGTATTTTATGTTTTATGTCTTATCTTTGTTTCATTTGTATCTGACTTTATCTCTTTGTTTGATGAGCACTTCCTGAAGTGTCTTTGGAAGACTATATTTAAACAAACTTTACTTGCTTGCATCCACCTTGACAAATAACATCTTGGCTTATTGCGAGTGTTGGAGGATGTTTTGTCTGACCTTATAGCACATGCCAGGAATTCTAGATGTCAGTATTGTTTCAGGGGCCATAGTGTTGACCTCAAGATGCTTAGAATTTCTAGTAACACCCCTGAAAAATTACTAGCACTATCAGAGAAACATGACAAACACACACCTGTCTCCTTGTTCATTAGTTCATTGTAGTATGCGAAGAAAGCTCTGAACTCTGCTGGTCTATGAGAGAGGACTTTGAAGACATTTGGCAAAAAGCCTCCCTGAAAGAAAATGTACAGTTTAGCAGGTAAATCATTGTCACAAATATATATTATATGGTCTATCAAGGCTTTTTTTTTTGTTTTACCTTAGACTCCACTTCCTCCATGAGCTCCACTATATCATAAGGTAAGTCTTTCTTGTAAGGAACTGGATAGCGACTGATTTTCTCCGGTGGAGGGTCGCTGGAGAAATGTCTGGTCCCCGCCACTGCCGCTGCCGCCCTCCGCCGGGACACGCAGCCCGACCGGAGAGACGCCTGGATGGAGGACCGGAGAGTCAGACAGAAACACGACTGAGAACAGCACAAAGTAGAAAACTGTACGACAACTTACGAGCTGTGTGAACACAGGACGACGAAACAACTTGGCGACAAGGTTATTCGCCATGCCAGTCCGCTGAGAAAACAGGCTGTTTCTTTGGATTTAATTTCGTCTCGTCGGACTGGAAAGTGCAGAAGAGCAGCCAGAGGGAGTGTCAACACCAGCAGTCAGCTCGGATGGTTTTAGGCTTCTCAGAATGATTAAGGAAGTCAGTTACCGCTGCAAAATTAAAAATTATTCATCAGTCTTTCCAACTTTCAGTCACCTGTCAATTGATGTTTGCCTCTATGTGAAGGGTTATAAGATCCTATGAAGGCTAATTATATATTGTTATAACTGTAACTTTATTTACCATTAACCTCTCGTCTTAGGGTTAAAAATCTTTCTCTGTTTCGCTTCGTTGCTCACCGTCCAGCCAAACAATCCAATCACAGTACGGTACTGAGTCACGCCTGCTGTCTGTCCCTGCCTTTTTACAGACAGTCTATGGTTCTGGCCTCATGCACTATTCCTCCTCACCACCAGGGGTCAGGCTGTGTGGACCGGACTGTGTTGCCATGGGGCGTTTATGCCTGTAGCTTACAACCCACTAACCATGCAGATAAGACATTTCATGTAGGTTTGAGATCATTAGAATTGTGCTTATTGTTGTGGATAGTATGAGTTTATCGCTGGATTTGTTCCACAGACTGTACGCTTCATGACAGACAGAAACCGGGACAACAAAGGGGACGTCATCAACGCTCGACCCGGTGCCCCGGAAGCGACTTTGTTGCGAATGAGCGACTGGTTTTCATTCATCAAGTGACATACGGTTTGGATAATTTATCAAAACAAGAATACTAATCGAGGCCGAATTGAACATTGTAACTGACATGTTTTACCACGTAAGTTTGTGTTATTTTTCCTTTAAGAGCCGGTTATTAGCAATGACCGGATGTTTTGTTTATAAATGTTTGCCTAGCGTGATCGCTGCTTCGTTAGCAGCGCTAAACAAAACTTCTCCAAATAAGTTTTTGTTTTGCTGGTATGTAGTAACTCTTGTTTTCCTGGTCTTTAATCACCATCACCGCAGGACCACGTTCATAAACACTGAAACAGTAATATATCTGTATGCAGTCGCTAACAATGGAAGCGTTGTCTTATAATGCACGCACTATTTGGTGTTCGCAGATTTCCTTGGAGCATGAAATCTTGCTACACCCGAGGTATTTTGGTCCGAACCTCCTCAACACCGTGAAGCAGAAGCTTTTCACAGAAGTGGAGGGTACCTGCACTGGCAAGTGAGTGGCTTCGTGCAAGACTCAATTCAGTGCACAAAATCAATTCAATTATATAATTTAACTGGACAGTGTTAATCTACCATTTTGTTGACATGTAACATATTAGGTTGGATCAGATGTTACTAAAGTTCAATGAACCCCAACCCAAATCAAACGCATGTGTACACACTTTTAGAAATAAACAAATAGCCACTTCCCTCTATTCTGGAATGAACTGCCTCACTGCTATTTTAGAACTTGTTATAATGTCTGTCATAATGTGTTTAATGACTTTGAAAACTGAGTAAGTCTAGTAATATTGAATCTTTCGGACCTATGGCCATAACATTTTGCTTAAGACTCTTGACTCTTGACTCTGACTTAAATTAAAAAATAAAACATTCAAAAACCAAAGGCACTAGATCAGGGTTGTGGCCTTTTTTAAGTTATCATGACAATATCAAATGCATAACAAATACTTTAATTTTACATTCATGTTCCCGCATGCAAAGCTTGACGTATACATGTTAATAATTTATCTCTTTCAGGTATGGCTTCGTCATTGCAGTCACCACCATTGACAACATTGGGGCAGGTGTAATTCAGCCAGGCAGAGGGTTTGTCCTGTACCCTGTGAAATACAAGGCCATTGTGTTTCGGCCATTTAAAGGGGAAGTGGTGGACGCTGTGGTTACTCAGGTTAACAAGGTGAGGTACAGTATAGTGCAGGTTTATCAGCCACTATAGAGAATTTCTAAGCTTTAATGTAATTTTTATATGATGAGGGCATTTTAATTCCCACTGTGGACTGTCTCAAAAGCTTCACTTCCACCATCCCTTCACCCCTCCATGCTGTTATCTGACACTGACATTGCATTGCTTGATAAACTTCTGAAAAATCTGTACAGTATTATATAGTATTATGGCTAAAACTCCTGTTTTCACATCTTTTCTGACCAATCAGTCAGTTAAAAAGTAAAACGATACGCATGGTGATATCGGTTATATTAATTATAATGATAACTTTGTATGCCATTATTTTGACCAAGATAATTACTCTGGTACATGCCTAAGATTAATGGAATTTTTCATTGTTGAAGCACACAAATTTAACTTTATCATAGTAAATGTAAATGCTGAGCTATTTGAGTTAAGAGTTAATGCATCTGTAGTGGATGATGTTTTAAATATAAAGTGATGAACCAGTTTTGTGCCTTTATTTAAATGATATTTTTCCGTGTTTCTTGCAGGTTGGATTGTTCACCGAAATTGGTCCCATGTCTTGCTTCATCTCTCGCCATGTGAGTCAGTGTAACATCTGTAGTTATTGACTGAATAGGTTGTCTTTGATACATGTTTAGATTTATATTTGTTATCGTATTTCTCACAAGAAACACTCTTTTTGCAGTCCATCCCCTCAGAAATGGAGTTTGACCCCAATTCTAATCCTCCTTGTTATAAGACAGTTGATGAGGTAAGAATATTCAGTGTTGTTTGTCATTACCAGCTGCTGGATAGAAACATTTACCATATGACACAAGAGTGTGTAACAAAATAAATGCCATTTTCAGCTGAAAACAATCTCCTCTCTTAGGCTTCTGAAATTAAACTTTTAGAATTAAATGTTTACATGTAAAAATTCAGGTAATGATAGTTACACTGGTGTTAAAGAAGGTATTTTTCAGGAAATGTAAGCGATCGTGACTGGAACATCAAACATTCTGTATGCCAAGTATCTGCAGTGCTGCTCACTGTTGTTTTCCTCCTGTCACTTTACTGTTGTTGAGTCTTGCATTTAAGAATGTTTTCTTCTCTTCTTTTCAAGGACATTGTAATCCAGCAAGACGATGAGATCCGGCTTAAGATTGTGGGAACACGAGTGGACAAGAATGACATTGTAAGTGTTTTTGTTCTTTTTAAAATAATAATATTTCATCTTGCCATGGGAAAAAATAACAAGAAAGGATATGTGACTATATCTCAGGTGTTACATAGTAGTTTATAGAAAAGACACACTGTATGCTAATTTACAGTAAGTTAAAAACTTTCCCCTTGTTTTCCAGTTTGCTATTGGATCTCTCATGGATGATTATCTGGGTGAGTATTACACCACAGCATATTGTCACACAGGTGGTAGATCTGCTCATTCGATGGGCATGAATCGATAAAATGCCTTGTATTATGTAAAATTACTCTGCACAATCAGGACAACATGATTCATAGTGTCACAAGACAGGCTTTTTATTGTTTCAGTTTGGTTACTGTGGTTGCAATAGCACATATGTAGGCACCCTGTAGGTAGAATATATTATTTTTTGTTTTGTAACTGATCATTGCCCTCAACTTTTATTTCCAGGTCTTGTGAGCTGATTCATCCCAGAGGTTTCACATTACATGGGACATTTTATGTAGTAGCCTATTTCTTTCTTGGTTAAAATTGATATTTTTCTACACTGATTGATTTTGTTTGGTGACAGGTGGTGAAGCCCCATAGCTACATTGTTTTGTCGTTATTTGTTTGTATTGCAAGTAGTGCAAAAGAAAATTTACTTGTAATCAGAAATAATTCATATGCTTAATTTTCAGTTTTTTCGTTGAATTCGTAATTTTGATCTCAACTATATATTGATTGTTTTTTGTATGTGGACTGTAATAAAATATTTTATTTGTTCTTATATTCTTGTATCTTTTCCTATTTTAAGTATCACGGTGTGTTAATTTGATTTTACTTTGACTTAAAATAGATTCAATGTGCTGTAACTGTACGCCATCTTTAGTTAATATTTATACATTTTAAAATCAGATCAGATGTGTTGAAATCGGTTGAAATGTGGCAAAGCATCCCCCCGCCGGTACAAAACATTCGGCGAAATGTGAACGCGGAAATTTTACGGGCGCGCACGTCTTGTGACCGTAAATACGTCAGAGGAGCGCGCCCTCGTTCTTTCTTTCTCTCGTCCTGAAGATGGCGGCAGGGGTGAGTAAGATGGAGAGATGGCAAGTGATGTTGCTCTGTTTAAACTTTCCTGGCGTAATCCGATGAAAATCAGTCCCATCTGCACCTTTACTGAGTACCTTTGGATGTGAACAACGCTTTGTGTCTGTTAGGTAGATGTTAGAGGGTTTATTTTCAAAGAATTTCATTCAGTGTTCATATTAACTGAGGTTAGCTTTTGCTATCCTGACGTTGCATTGAAAGTGAATGACGCCCCTTTGCTGGCCCAGTCTTGTGCCACGTTACCTTAGCTATTTTCATTCTGTTAAAAGTTAGACCTTGGACCTTATGTCCAGATTTTTAGCGCCTGTAATTACGGCTATTGTTAAATGTTACGCGAACTAAGACTCCGGTTAAACTGCCGGTAATGATAGCTAGTTAGCATTTAGAGCGAGCTAGTAGCCACGTGAATATTTCAGTTTTTGCTCGTAGTTTGTTACCAAACGTACATTTGTCATTGGTAACCTGCTTTAGTTAAATCTGTGGACGTATCCCAGCTTCACCCTGTTACCCTTTCTAGCTAGGGGGTTATAAATTGTCAACCAGCTGGATTTGGATGGCATCATTCATCTTTTACCTCGTAACTGAAAGAGGATGTGCTTTGTTGAAACATTGAGAGATTACTGTGAGAACATCCTTAGGTCAACCCAGTATGCAGTTATCTTGTTTGCAAATTGTGATTTTATATATGTTTAAATTAATTTTAATGCTTTTAATTGTATAAAAAATTTTTGTGTTCTCTCTTCCTTTCAGACTCTGTTCACATACCCAGAGAACTGGCGGGCCTTCAAGGCCCAGATTGCAGCCCAGTACAGTGGTGCTCGCCTCAAAGTTGCCAGCAACTCCCCTGCCTTCACCTTCGGGCAGACAAACCGTACTCCTGCCTTCCTCAATAACTTCCCTCTGGGCAAGGTTAGTGCAACTAGTTAAATGGAATTGCACCAGTTTTGCAAATATATCTGCAGTCGACTTGAAGAGCCTCCTTTTCTACTGTAGGACTTGTGGCGATGTTGGCAACGAATGTGGCCAAAACAGTTGCTGCAATTATTTCTAAACTCAATTCATTAACTTGCTGTTAAATGTAATTATTTAAGAACACCATTGTAACCAAAGAATCTGCTCATGCACATTACTGCTTGATTCTCTGGATAAAAATATAACTAAATCCCACTGTTTGCAGGTACCTGCCTACCAGGGAGATGACGGCTTCTGTCTGTTTGAGAGTAATGCCATTGCTCACTACTGTAAGTTGCATTCACTAATAACTAAATGGTTAGTGCATTATGCACTCTGGGTGTTCATCAAAAAGGTCTACATTTAGTCATAAAGGAAGTAGAGTTAATACCACTTGTCCAAACAGACGGCTTCTTCATTAGGGCTTAAATGTTTATCACAGATGTAGAGTTTGTGGTGACATACATAATTTGAGTCAGCAAAACAATAATTCAGTCATTTATTTTTTTTTATTTTTAGAGGAGCTCTCTCATGGCAGACATTTAGACTGTTTTGGAGCTGGGCCAAACCTGTGACACAGCATGATCAGCATTGGGTCCCTACCTAAATGGAACAAAACTGTTAAACTTGTTGGACAAATCAAATGTGTCACATTCCTTTCTTCACACCTTTCTGTCAGAATTTTAACTCGACTGCATTTGTAACTGCAATTCAATGCAAGTGTTTCAAGACAGTACATTAATGTTGAAATACAGAGTTCATCCCATGAAAACCCACTTATTGTATGTGTTCAGCACACAGAATTTGGACTGGCTCTGTAATTTTGACTTTTTCGTCAAAAAATTTTTTTTTCTACCTTTCAACAACAGTGAGCAATGATGCCCTGCGTGGCGCCACTCCCCAGGCTGCAGCCGAGGTGCTGCAGTGGGTGAGCTTTGCTGACTCAGAGATCATCCCTCCAGCCAGCGCTTGGGTCTTCCCCACTCTGGGAATCATGCAGTTCAACAAGCAGGTGTGCAGCTCAGCATTTTCTGGCCAAGCAAAAGACTTAAATTACTATTTTGTAGCTGTGTTGGAACGTGGGTGCCAGTTGGCCATAGTACAACACCCTCTTGTGACTTAGCGCTTGACTACAGACTTTAAATATTGTGCAACCCCTCATAGACATTGTTTTTTTTTTTTGTTTTGTTTTGTTTTTTTTTTTCTGTTGAACTGTCCAGGCCACGGAGCAGGCCAAGGAGGATGTGAAGAAGGCCCTCACAGTACTGAACCAACACCTGAATACCCGTACCTTTCTTGTGGGAGAGAGGATCAGCCTTGCTGACATCACTGTGGTCTGCTCCATGCTCTGGCTCTACAAACAGGTTTGACATACACACAGCAAATAAGTTACATGAACAGCCACATACTCAATGGTCATTAATTTTGACATTTCTCTGATCAACTTTTGATCTATAAAATGTTATTTGTGCTAAGATGCTCTCCAAAAGACCGTAACACATCTTTGTACCCTTCAGGTTCTTGAACCTTCCTTCCGTCAGCCATACCCCAACGTGACCCGCTGGTTTGTCACCTGTGTCAACCAGCCCCAGTTCAAGGCTGTCCTTGGAGAGGTCAAGCTGTGTGACAAGATGGCCCAGTTTGATGGTATGTTGATGGCAATGAGATCAGAAGTGGTCATTCAGCACATTGCTGTCGTTTGAAAGGTGAAATAAGTACTCCCCCTTTGTTGCTGAATTCTTTATTGTTCAGCTGAATGATCTATAATAGATGTGTAATAAAATAGCTGCAGCCTTATTTATTTTAACACTTCTGCAAACTTTGTCAAATTGCTTGTAATATTTTACAATTTATTTCCAAAGTATTTGCCAGAGAGTGGTCTCAGAGGGTGGAACATTTAACAGAAAACATGTTGTTCATTGTTTTGTTCTCTTTGACCAGCCAAGAAGTTTGCTGAGATGCAGCCCAAGAAAGAGACCCCTGCTAAGAAAGAGAAGGGAGGAAAAGAGGCAGCCAAGCCCCAGGAGAAAAAAGAAAAGAAAAAGGAAGAGAAGAAGCCTGCACCAGAGGAGGAGATGGATGACTGTGATGCTGTTTTGGCTGCAGAGCCCAAAGCCAAGGACCCCTTTGCACACCTGCCTAAGAGGTAAATGTCTAGAGGCATTTCTTGTCTGTAGTTTTGGTATGCAGTTTTATTAATGTCATTTAGAAATTGTCACGTCTAGTTAACAATTTAGATTTTGGAACAGGAGTGGTCAACATGGAATGGAGGGTCAATAGTATGCCGGTTTTTATTCCAACTGATCACCTCAGCATGATCACCTCTTAGTACTTCTTTCTACTTTAGAGGAGTTCTAATTAGCGGGTGGAGGCAGTTGACTCCATGGCGCATTTGATGGCGCATTGAATCATTCATGGTCAGGATGTTTAGTCTACAGATAATTTGTTGGTCAGTAACAGACCTCTGCAGCAATTGACAAAACTTCCCTTGTTGGGGAAAGCAGATGGTCCCCTGTCATTGGGCAAGGCAGTGTCCAGTCATGGCACCCAGTCTTAATCTGACAGGGGAAGAGAAACTTGAGACCACATTCATCCCAGTCATCTCTGTTTCAGTGAGCAAAAGGCTGGTTCATGCTGTGGCCACAAATTCAACTTGGAGCTCTATTGTTGACCTTGGCATTGAAAGATGAAGTAGAGTGTAGATATTTCCAAGTGATTTAGTTGGGACTTTGTCACCAGCCAAAGTTGTTTTTTTGTGTATATATATATATATATATATATATATATAATTTTTTTTTTTTTTTTTTTTGTGGTGGGGACATGAAAAGTTAATTGAGCATTTAGATCACATTTTTGCAACATCTTATTTTTCTCCTATCTACATGTTCAGACAGCAGACATGCATGACCCAAATCTGTCTCCGCTTTTTTTTTTCTTTTTTTTTTTTTAAGCACATTCGTCATGGACGAGTTCAAGAGGAAGTACTCCAATGAGGACACCCTGACAGTAGCCCTTCCCCACTTCTGGGAGCACTTTGACCGTGAGGGGTACTCCATCTGGTATGGCCAGTACAAATACCCCGAGGAGCTTACACTTACCTTCAAGAGCTGCAACCTTATCACAGGTGAGACTCAGCAGCAGCCACTTTACCGAGCTTATTGATCTAAAGGGGATGGCTGTAGGGGTTCTGTAGTGTATTGATGTCATTTTTGTGAAGGCACAGTTCATACTTTTCAGTCCTACGTATTTATCTGGAACAGCATGGTCGCTCAGTTGTTGGAATGAAACTTCAGAAAGGGATTTAATTTTGGCCTTGGCCCTACTTGTTATGGGGGTTTCCTGGGTCATGCATTGGCATGAATTTCCTCCATTTAAGGTTGGTTCCCATGGTCCAAAAACAAGTTTTTATCAGAGCAGATTCAGCTCATATTTTAATGTGACCTCAAGAGTTAGTAGGTCTTTTAGGAAACTTTCATGTGGCTTTGAAAAGTAGGCAGGTACTGATTAAATATGAATGTATTGGATAGATCTTTATTTAGAAATAATGGCTTACATCATATTCATACATTTTAAAGGTTGCATGTACTGTGCTTAAAAATTTTAAAGCCTCAGCGGCTTCTGAGGTTGCAACATAAGTTTTCAGTTTTCAAGATATCCATGGTTGCTCTAAAGTTCTTAGAATTAAGATGCGATTT